CTTTACTTAGTATATACTACGTTGATCTTCTGTATATAAAGATAATTGAAAATGAATCTTGATGAAGAATGAGATGGGAGAAGGAATGGGGGATGGGATGGTTGCAGGTGGAAGGGAGGCTATGGGGGGAAGAACTGCTATAATCCAAAAGTTGTACTTTGGAAATTTGTATTTGTTAAATAAAAATTGAAAAAAAAAATAAACGTGCAGCAGGCTACTTTTTAAGTGGACAATTTTGTATGGCCTGTAAATGTTGTTATAAATATCCAAATGGCCCTGGCAGAAAAAAGGTTCTCCATGCCCATGAGCACTGTCAGAGGGCAGCCAGGGCCTGACACAGGAAACACACTCTGAGACAGCACAGCCTCGGAGCTCCCTGTTCACTTGATTGCCAAGCTGCACCAAATGCACCTTCACGCAGCAGCAATGGCTTCCTCTTCCCTGGAAAAGGGAGCTGCAATGTCTGAAGGCTCTGGGGAGCTCCCAAGGTGGCTCTTCTATTTGCACCAGAAAACCTTCCCTCTCGTACCCAGGTCCTTGCCTGCCTCTCGTGCGGACTGACTATGGCAAGGCCATGAGCACAGTGCTGCTTTTCTTTTTCAAGTTACCCGACAAAGCTTATGCACAAACTGACTATGATGTGGAATTTTTCCTTAGCTTTATGATCAGGCAGATGGTGACCCTAGAGGGGTCCAACTTGCATGACCAATTCTCACTAAAATTCACGGCTGCAATATGAGTCTCCTGCCTCCTGAAGAAAGCTGGGCTTTAGGTTATATTCTGATGTCTCCCACATCTCTGAGCTGTAGAAACCATGAAGAGCAAACTGCCCTGCCCACAGCTTCCTTGATCTCCTTCAGTAACCCAGCCCTCCAAAGACTTCTATTCCCTTGAGCAAAAGTCTTAAGTCATCCAGAATTCTCTTAAATATCACATCAAACAACAAACCCTATTGCCTCTACCTTCAGAATAAGAATCTGACCCCTCTCACCAGAGCCCCTGCGATCCTGACCACCAGCACGCCTCTGATGCTGAGCTGTGTTCACTTCCTACCTCCTCTCCTGCTTTGCTCCGTCTCCCTACAGCCTTCTCTTCAATGCAGAGTGGTTTTTGCTAAAACCCAAGCCACGAATCAGGTCAAATCTCTTCAGAGCCCTCTGAAGCCTTCTCATCTGAAAGTAAAATCCAAAGTCTCTCCAGGCTTCCCAGCGTTGTCTCTGACCCCTCTTGCCACATCCTTTCTGTTCTTACTCTGGCATACTGTGCCAGCCACACTGGTTTCCCTGCTATTCCGAGGACAGAGCCTCCACCCTAGGGGGCCTTTGGACAGACCACTCCCTCGGCCTGCAGACTCTACCGCAGTCATCTGTGTGGCCTTCTCATCTCCTTGTAAGCAAGAACTGCCTGCAATCACCCTGGTTAAGACTGTATTACCATCGTAACTATCATCATCTCTTACCAATTCTTCTCCCCAGCATCTATCCCTGAGAAGGACATATTTCATGGAAAGGAAAGCATTTTGTTTGCTTCTTAAAAGGTTAAAATGTGACTATCAAGTACAGAAGGCAAGATGGAGAACAAGAAACCAGAAAAATACACCTCCCAAAGATTGCCTGAGGGTGTAATTGGTTAGAAATGAACTTACTGGCTGGGAACCAGTAGCCCCTTCCTGTTAAGGCAAAGACATCATGCTTGCTGTTTACTGCAGCTGGGGAAAGACAACCACAGCATACAAATGTATTTTTTTTTTTCATTTTATTCGGAAGGTAGAGAGACACACAGAGAGATATCTTCCATCCACTGCTTCACTTCCCAAATGCCCAAAAGAACTGAGGCTGAGCCAGGCCAAAGCCAGGAGCCTGGAACTCAATCCAGCTCCCCTCCATGGGTGGCAGGGACCCAAGTAATTGTGCCAACACTTGCTGTCTGAAGGGTGTGCATTAGCAGGAAGCAGGATTCAAGAGCAGAGCCAGGACTGGGATCCAGGCACCCTGAGGGGAGGCAGGCATCCCAAGCAGTGTCTTAACCGCTGCACAAAATGTCAACCCCTGGAAATGTCTTCTCTTTAAAACAGAAACCCTTTCTGTTACTGACAGGCAGAATGAACAAATCAAGGACTAGGAAGAAATAGAATAAAATGAAGACTGTTCATCAGGAAAATCCCTTTTCCGTATGGAAAGGCTCAGTTCAGTACAAAAACTCCATGAAGAGAGAATCTAGAAATCCTCAACAAGGCCATGGGTGGTGCTGGTGCTGCGAGGAATTAAAAAACAAAACAAAACAAAACAAAACAAAAAAAAAAACAAAACTAAAGTAATTGATAAAAATGGTTCTTCATCCAAAATAACAAAAAATCGTTTCTAAATGCTCTATGTTAATCATATCAATAAAGTACTAAAATCCCACGGGGACCATTTTAGATGAGGGAGAGTATTTAGCTCTAGTTTTGTTTATAAAATAAGAAAAATGAGAAAAGATACAGGTATGCTTAGCATTATTCACAAAAGCATGTACCACTCAAGAAAAATATGTGAAAGCTAATTAATTGCTTTCCTCTCTCTCTTACTTTTGAACCCATTAAGAATCCTCAGGAACAAAATTTTGTTCCTGTGAGAGCGAGCAGCTTAAATGTTTGATGGCCTTCAAATCTGAGGATGATAGGAGCTGAGCAAGTACTTTCCACAATAAGAAAAAAAAATCTGCAGAAAGTTGTAATAGTCTTAGCATTTATGAAGATTACCTTAGAAATAAGTCATTAATCATTTATTAACAAGTCATTAATCACTATCAAGAAATAAATACCATTTTGTTAACTAAGTCTGTGTCAAAATTACCCCAGCAGTTGTGTAGGGGTATGTGTGTGTGTTTGTACAAGTGTATGTTTTCATCTTACCACCACTACTTCTGTTGGCTTTGAGCACCACTTGTATCCACCTTCCAGTTCTATTTTTCATTACAAAAAAGTAAGTATGCTTCCAGAGTGAACTGGATTACAAGCTTTTTTGATGACTACCTTTCAGCAAGTGAGTAAGGAAAAAGCTATTTAATCTAACATTTTACTTTAGCACCCAGCTAAATAGAAATTTTTAAAGGACATTTTCCTTAAAGATATGATAAACTATCACATAGTCATGGCTTCAGGAGAAATTCCATTTCATTTTGTTAGTAAATGAGCTTATTAGTCAGGGTGAACTCACAAGTCTCTGTAGGTTGTTATAAACTGAAGCAAATCAGCTCATTTGAATTGCTATGTATCTACCTAGCATTTTTAATATAAAACAATGTATTTGTTGAAATAATCATTCTTTCTTAGGGATACTAATTTACGATGCTCCATATCAATTTAAAACCTTGAATTCTACAAGGTGCTTTCATATAAGGTGTCAAAGTTGAAAAAAAACTTGAGACTAAAATAAATGTTTGGTAACTCTGTTGTTTTCAGAACATGTACGAATTATATTTACATCCTCAGCTTTTCAATTCTACTCATCTTAAAACTGGTTTCACAAAATGTTACACCGTCATACTTCAATGTCTCTACATAACAGATTTGAGAAATGTCTGGTAGCTCTCTTTGGTGATTACATGATTCCAATCTCCTTCTACTATTTTGATATGAGCACTTATTAAACTACCCTCTAATACAACAACAACAAAAAATCCACGACAAAACATAAAACTTTTTCAAACAGCATTGAAAAGACTTACCACTTTTGTTTTGAAGATGGAGAAAACAAAGTAATGGTGGGTTAAAAGATCTGTCAAACTGCACAGCAGAGTCTTTAACAAGATAAACCATTCTTTCGCAGCACTTCCTATGACCTTGCATAACACTGGCCTCTACCAGGCAGGCAACTGCCGTCACATTATCTACAGCCAAGTAAGCAGAAATGAAAGGAAACCAACTATAAAATCCATACTAGAAAAAAAGGAGAAATAAGTAGCTTCTAATCAATTGAGAAACAAATAAGATTGATTAGTTCTTAATGTGCCCCACTAAATATCCACTTACACGTAAGGACCAAATTCATCTCATGGTTGCTCTCTTCACGTGGCTGCATACAGACAGTGGCTACAGGCAGCATCCACGAGGGCACAATCTAGTGCCACAGCAGATCACAATGGCACCACACTCATACCTTTCTATAAAAGGAACGCTTTAAATCGACAGGAAATTGAACTGTGAAGCGACAGTCTGAAAATAAGAAGTTGTTCACACAGGTACCCACAGATACAGTCTAGACTTCATGTCACACTGTGTGGTTCTGGACGTCCATGGGGGCTGATGGACACGGAGGGGCAATCCGCCTGCCTCTCCTTGCTGATCACCTGGCAGTGCCACCCTTTGCCCTTTACATTAGCGTCTCAGCTCCCAGACAGCTCACGGGACACAAGGCCTATTTCTAATGCAATTGCTCACGATCCTGGAAGTTACTGATGCACACAAACTTGGGCACAGAAATCACCTGGGCTTAGGTGTCTTCCACGCTCCAGACACAAAGAACAAACATGAAACTTGTTGGATGGTTGGTAGGAGTGCCTGGGAAACTGACTTTCGTAACACAGGTAGGTAGATAGGTAGGTAGGAGGTAGGTACAAACACCTCTGGCTTCAGGGCAAAGTTGAGAGGAACAGCACGCAGTTACTACAGATTTAACAGGGCTCCAAGGTCTATCAGTGACTACACTGGTATTGTGTTACATCTGTGTCACAAGCTGATATTTAAGAAAGGCAAGCATATGATCCTATACTTATCTAGCATGTAATTCTTTCCTGAGTCAGTCAAATAAGGCCTTATAGTCCTAAAATATCCCATATTCTTATAACGAAAGATGGAAGAAAATCTAATCACTACAAGGCACTGAAAAGGTATACTCAATCAAATTACTTTTCAACGTGGATATGCAATAATTCAAATTAGAACATGCTAAAAAAAATCCCATTAGTTTCAGGAAATTTGCCTACCAGGTAAAAATATCAAAATACAGTCTCACACAAGCTTATCATATTACAGTATAACATTTATTCAATCTCATCACTTATGATCACTTTATTATAATGAAATTAACCCTGACATAAACTTTTGACATTTAAAAACAGAGAATACACAGATTTTTCAGCTGTTTTACTTACATGTACTTTTTAGTTCCCATGCAGTACTCATAATAAGGAAATATTATACATCAGCCCTCTCATATTATGCTCAGGCAGAACCAAGTTCAGAGGGAAACAAAGTGCCAACATAAATTCATCTCCAAAAACTGCCCAAAGCCACAGGAAGCCACTGTTCCTTCTAATTATATATTTACTGTACATTCTTTTCTGTAAATGTGTAATTGTAGTCACATAACAATAGTTATGATGAGGCAATAATACCGTTTTAGGAAGGGATTAAACAAATGCGACCCGAAGCTGAAGAGAGGAGACCAGAGCATATAAAAGTCATCGGAGAACACCACACACACACGCACACCAATGCTTTCCACTTGCCGGCTGGAGAGAACATGCACAAGGTTTTCTTAGCTGACAGTCATCAAGATCGCATGAAAAATTGGCCTTCACATCATCTGTGCTGACAGGAGAGTAATGCCACTGAGGAGAAAGAGCCGTGCTCATTATCTTCTAGGTCTGTCTAGGTCATCTATGGCAGCTAGAAGCTTCTGTCTTGCCTTCTTATTGATATGGGATCCCAGGCAAACGTTTACCAGGTTGGTTAGCTGCTTCGTTGAATATTCCTGCTCAAGAAAAGAAGATCCAGGTTTAGCACACGGAGAGATGGGATCAATGAACCAAAAAGAACAGGTGTCGAGGTGCCTGCCGAGCTGCGGGACCAGGGAATAAGGTGAGCGCACGCTTGCAACAGGGAGCAACAGAACCCGTTTCAACAGGGCCAAGGAGCCTCCCGTGCCTGTGCTTTTTACCATTTCGAAGATGAGACACTTTATGCTTGTTTCTGTGACACTCTCCGCTAGGAAGTTGTCAAAATATGCTGACATCTCGGTTTGTAAAAACACCACTGATTAAGTATTTTTCTGGTACTCTATAGTTTGTGAGCAACTTTATATTTACAAAAAATTTCCATGAGAACAACTCTTCTAAGATACAATAAATTAATAAAGTAACAAGGATCAGAAAGTCACTGTTTGTTAAACTCTATTAAAACTGGCAGCAAGGAAGTAAAATTAAGACCTTGGGTATCTCAGCATTCAAACCTATCCAGTTCCCATGCTCAATGGGAGGCTTGCAGCCTAATCTGGTTCTGGAGCTTGAACAGCAACAGTCCAGATGGGGACAGACAATGTGTGCTCACTCTAAAAAGAAAAGGATATCCATCTACACTGAAGATAATGCACAAGATAAAGCAACTTCCAAATACGAGAAAGAGCTCCCTCAAAAAAGTCAGCAAACTGACTGGTATCAATGAAAGCGTTTCCAAAACCCCAAACTAGAGAATTTCAGTCTGCTATGGTAAAGAAGAAATCCTACATGGGGCAGCACTCTGGCACCGAGTAACAGAGCTGTACGAGCTGTGCGTTTTCTCCTTGGCCGCTTCCTACTCCCTCCCGGCCCGTTGCTCAGCACCAGGACTGACGCGTTCGGAGCGCGCTTTACCAGGCGGATTCTCGCAGCACTCAGCGGCGAGTCCCTCTGCACATGGCGTTAGCATTCTGGTTCTCAAAGGTCACAGGGGCCAAAAGTGGTGGAGTTTTTCTCAATTTTGACTTACTGCTCAACGTCACTGAAAACCAAATGTACATTTCTACTCTGTTTCCAACTGACAGCAGGCACATTCACACAAAACTCAGCTAGTGCTGACATGCCACGCTGATGTTCACCTCATCTTTTTACAGCATTGAAAGTAGAAAAGCAGAGCCTGACATGGTAAACACAAACAATTCCTTATTTCCTTTTCCGAATTTTACTTAGCTTTTACCCACAATGGTTATAGCCTATGTAAATATGAACTCTAGAGTTACTGGTGTAATAAGATTTGGCGATAATTTTAACATTTCCCATATTTTCTTAAATCCATCTTCACATACTGCCTATCTAAACAAATGGCATAACAATAATACAAAAAAGCTCTCCACACATATGCTTGGGAGAGACACAAAAGTACATCAAAAAGTGTGGAAAAACAGAATTAAAAGATTTGGTGCAAAATTTTTGAATTCCATGCATAGTCTTTTCTTAATAGTCATTTCCATGAACTTTTTGAAGACCCCTTGTAGTTGAGTTGAATTGTGTTGAAAATTCAGCTGCTATCCTTATCTTTTTTTTCTAACAGGCAGAGTGGACAGTGAGAGACAGAGAGAAAGGTCTTCCTTTTGCCGTTGGTTCACTCTCCAATGGCCGCCACAGCTGGTGTGCTGTGGCCAGCGCACCATGCTGATCCGATGGCAGGAGCCAGGTACTTATCCTGGTCTCCCACGCAGGTACAGGGCCAAAGTACTTGGGCCATCCTCCACTGCACTCCCAGGTCACAGCAGAGAGCTGGCCTGGAAGAGGGGCAACCGGGACAGAATTCGGCGCCCTGACCGGGACTAGAACCCGGTGTGCCGGAGCCGCAAGGCGGAGGATTAGCCTAGTGAGCCGCGGTGCCGGCCTCAGCTATTCTTAATAACAATAAATCATATTTTTCTACTTACCTACGTATCTACACAAAAGAAAAATTGTCAATCTGTATTAAAGGTTAAATCTGATATAGGATACAAATGAAATTCCACCATTTAGATATTTACATCTTCCACCATCCCCAACACTGTCACTGTGGTTAGGATGTTGCTATTTCATTGCTGAGGGGCACAAGAAGGCTACACAGCAGTCTACACATTAGGAATCATTTCAGCATTACTGCTTTCCATCCACAAGTATCTTGATGTTAACCAACATCAGGCTTTTCTTCTAACGCAGTTGCAGGAAATAAATAGTGAGTATTCTCACTCTGGCTGTGTTTCTAGATAATTACTGTAATGATTCAAATGGGCTCAAAGGGACTTGATTAAGGCAAAGGACACTGCACATAATCTGGACATAGTAAAGAACTAACCTGAGTATTTGTGTTAAAAAAAAGTTTCTTTATGCTCCACTCTCATGATTTTGAATTAAATGATACACCAGATATACAAAAGGGAGTGAAAATTAAGGTTTTCAGCTCTCACCCTGTGCTCCTTGATCCAACGTTCCATGTCATTTTCAGTTAGGTAGTAGGCTTTAATGTAAGTTTCCACAAATTCTTTATCAGGAATGGGTCTAATATCGGTTAGTTTTTCAAGTTTCATTAAAAACTGTTGAAAATCTAACTGCATTAAGGCACGACCCTCATTACTGCACTTCTTGACGTTGGCATATCTAAAAAACACAACAATAAAAAAACGGATAAATAATAGGCACTTAAATTTTTCTCTAGCTCCTATTTGGACAGAATAGGAGTAACATGAGAGGGTTATAGGAAAAAGAGCAGAAGAGCTGGGAGTCAGAAGTGGGTTATATTTATACCTTGTCATTTTACCTACCTGGTATGTATGTATTAATATATGTATATGTATATACATGCATATGTATGTGTGTGCATATGTATGTATGTATGTATGCATGTATTTGAAAGACGGAGTTACTACAGAGAGAAGGGGAGACAGAGAGACAGATCTTCCATCCACTGGTTCACTCCCCAAATGGCTGCGATGAGTGGGGCTGGGCCAGGCTGAAACCAGGAGCCAGGAGCTTCTTCTGGGCCTCCCACGTGGTGCAGGGGCCCAAAGACCTGGGCCATCATCTGCTGTTTTCCAAGGCACATTAGCAGAGAGTGGCCGGGACTCAAACCAGTGCCCACATGCGATGCTGGCACTGCAGGCCATGGCTTTTTAACCTGCTCTGCCCCAGCAGCAGCCCCACCTATCTGGTCTTCAACTTCCTCACTTGCAAAGCCAAGAGACTGAGTAACTTCAAGGCTCTTTGCTGCTCTGTGGACTACAGTTCCCTGCACTCAATGAACACTTTGTAAGAGAGTTAAACTGGCACCCCAGTTGATCTCACTGCTAAGAATTATTTATGAAATCCAAAGTAATCTTGGTTTTAGAAAACGGTTCAATATTGGAACTAGTCAGCTCAAAGGAAACAAATGAAACAATCCTCCCATGAGTACCAGATAAACCTGAGAAATGCATAAGCATACTCCTATTAACCCCAACAGAACAATATTTTATTACTCCTAAGTCAGTGTCTCATTCCTTCAATCACACAGATTGTGGACAATTCAATTTTATGGAATGAGCTACTTCCCCACTGGGAAATGTGCAAGAAAATTAAAGCTTATGTTATTTAAGGTGACCAAGCTTCCTCCCCTCCCCCATAAAGTGTTTTATGCAGAAATCTCACATATGATACTCATTTTTATACTTTATTAAACAAACTTATTGAGGGCACTTTTCAGTTGTGACTGCTGACACACAGCCTTTTATGTCTGATGCCACTGCTGGGTGCCACTCGGAGTGCGCAGACTGTGGTCTGCTCATCACCTTACCTCTCCACATCCCAATACATTCTTTCGTAGAACAAATGAGAACTAAACAGAAACTGGGTAAATGATAGTGTCAAAGTTCAACTGATGTGCAATTCCTGACCACTGTGCATGGTCTTTGAAACAGCTGCTTCGGGGATCGGCTGTGGTGAAGTGGGTTAAGCTGCTGTCTGCAGTGCCGGTATCCCATATGTGTGTTTGCTCAAGTCCTGGCTGCTCCACTTCTGATCCAGCTCCCTGCTAGTGTGCCTGGTAAAGCAACAGAAGACAGCCCAGGTGCTAGGGTCTTTGCAACACACATGGGAGCTCCTGGCTCCTGGCTTCAGGCTGGCCCAGCCCCAGATGTTGTGGCCATTTAGGGAGTGACTCAGTAGATGGAAGATCTTTTTCTCTCTCTGCCTCTTCCTCTCTGTAAGTCTTCTTTTCTTTTCTTTTTTTTTTTTTTTTTTTTTTGACAGAGTTAGATAGCGAGAGAGAGAGAGAGAGAAAGGTCTTCCTTTCGTTGGTTCAATCCCAAAATGGCTGCCATGGCCGGCACTGCGCCGATCCAAAGCCAGGAGCCAGGTGCTTCTTCCTGGTCTCCCACACGGGTGCAGGCGCCCAAGCACTTGCGCCATCCTCCACTGCCTTCCCAGGCCACAGCAGAGAGCTGGACTGGAAGAGGAGCAACCGGGACTAGAACCCGGTGCCCATATGGGATGCCGGCACCGCAGGCAGAGGATTAGCCAAGTGAGCCATGGCTCAGGCCCCTGTAAGTCTACTTTTCAAATATATAAGTCTTTGGGGGAAAAAAAAATAGCTGCTTGCTATTCAAGGATTTTCTCAAAAGTTTTCTAAATTTTAAATTCAACTGTAATAAAAGTTTACATACAATAAAATGTGTTGTATTGCAGGTTATAGATAAACCTCAGTTTTTCAGCATTTTATTATTTACAACTTTTGATTCACATCTAACACTTGAACACCTTTATGGGGCACCTCACTTCAACATATTCACACAGAACAAATGCATCAAGCCAGGCAACCAACCCTTCTATTTCCTTTCCTTTGCGTTTGGAGCCCACCAGCTCCTCTTTTCCAGTTCTTCATACAACACAGAACAGAATGCTGTGAGTCACGGTCACCCTACTCTACTGTGGTACACTGGAACTTATAACCCTTTTTTTTTTTTTTTTTTTTGACAGGCAGAGTGGACAGTGAGAGAGAGAGACAGAGAGAAAGGTCTTCCTTTGCCATTGGTTCACCCTCCAATGGCCGCCGCGGCCGGCGCGCTGCAGCCGGCACACCGCGCTGATCTGATGGCAGGAGCCAGGTACTTATCCTGGTCTCCCATGGGGTGCAGGGCCCAAGCACTTGGGCCATCCTCCACTGCACTCCCTGGCCACAGCAGAGAGCTGGCCTGGAAGAGGGGCAACCGGGACAGAATCCGGCGCCCTGACCGGGACTAGAACCCGGTGTGCCGGCGCCGCAAGGCGGAGGATTAGCCTAGTGAGCCGCGGTGCCGGCCAACTTGTAACTTCTTAAATGTATTACTATTTCTTACTTGTGTCCTACATGTCATGGGCAGACTGAGCATAGACTCTCAATAAATGGGAAAATGTTGATAGATCTGTAACTTGACGCATGGAAGATGTATGAAGTTTACCATGAGATGGTGAAGACGATTGTAAATGGGGTAAGGGTCACAGGGCTGACTCTGCCATCAGAAAATTAGCTTTCATACACTCATCTTCCCCACCTATAATACTGTGAATGTGGACATGCTGCCTAGCCTCGATTCAATGAGCCCAGGATTTTTCACTGATAAAACATAGAAAATAACTGTACCTACTGAAGAGTACTTCTGTCAGGATTTATATATTTGTGCTGCTTGGTTCAATAAATGACACATGATTGGTGCTCAATAAATGTTAAGTTCAAACATCATCAGTTTTATTGTTAAACAACTATTGGTTTAATTTTCAGATAATCATTAAACTTTTTTTTAGATCATTTATTCAAAAGGCAGAGTTACTGAGAGAGGGAGAGACACAGAAGAGAGAGGTCTTCCATCTGCTGATTCACTCCCCAAATGGCTGCCATGGCCAGGGCTGGATCAGACTGAAGCCAGGAGCCAGGAGTTTCATCCAAGTCCTTGGCTACGTTCTACTGCCTTCCCAGGCTCATCAGCAGGACCTGAATGGGAAGTGGAGCAGCCAGGACTTGAAGTGGTGCTCATATGGAATGCTGGCATCCCAGTGGCGGTTTAGCCTGCTGCACCACAATGCCGGCCCTGATAATCATTATATTTCACATTATCCAGTTGTCTATTAACTGGTTCTATGTCATCAAAAAGGGGGTGGAGGTGGGCAGGAAGGACAGCTAGAGAGAGACATACTGGAGTTTAAGGTTTCTTTTCTAATGGGTTCCAAACACCTCTGCTGTTTATCATTACCTCTACCCATTCTCTCTATCCATTAGTGATTTTAGTCACACTGATTAGTGATTTTTTAGTCAGACAATGACTTAGTATAATATCACTCATATACTATAATTTATTATTGAAGAAGCAGATGATACTTTCATGAGTGACTTACCCTTCCACAATAGTTCTATTAGCCAATCGAATACAATGTTCCCAAAGTATATTAGACACAGGCAAAGGTATTCGAACTCTCTTAGAAACTTCATTTAATCGCCTGTTAAACTGTTCAAATTCCTAAGAAGACAAAAAGTGTGGTTGTATATAAATATCATTATAACGCCACAAAGATTCTGCACAAAAGTAGTAAAACAAAACAAAACAAAACAAGATTTAGAAAGAATCAAAACTGAACCAAGTAAAACAAAAAAGAATCATGCCAAAGATAACGTGGACTTAGTGTGAAGTTTTAGAAAAGCAGGAATAAATTATGTCACAGTCGAGTACACTACATTTCATCTCAAAAGAACGAAGTGTTAAGAATGCTCAATGTTTCCACATCTCAAAATTTCCTATGGTTGTCAGTATGCAATAAAAGAATTAAATAACTGAATTTGCCTTTAAAAATATCTTACAGAAACCCACTTAAAAAATACTTAGAGCTTGCAACTCAGAATTAACTATTTGGAATCTGTGGCTTTCTGACACAAATATTTCTCTTTGCTAAAAGTTGAAAGTAAGTAAATATCAAATAATTCAAAGGCATTCCTCAGTACAAATGAAAAAAATCTTCTACTACCTTTGGAAGAACTGAACATTTTAATTTTATTGCCATTTTGACATAATTGCATTCAAAATTAGAACATTTCTAACTAATTTAGACAACTCTAATAGTTATATGAAAGCAGTAGATGCTTAACCTCCTGTTTCTTTGGACTATTATCATCTAAAATACGTTCATTTACAAAAGTAAATAATGCTGTACCCTTCCTTGGCAATATATGTATATATGTATATATGTATATATATATTTAAAGATTTATTTATTTATTTGAAAGTCAGAGTTACACACAGAGAGAAGAGACAGGGGGAGAGGGAGAGGGAGAGGGAGAGGGAGAGGGAGAGAGAGAGAGAGAGAGAGAGAGAGAGAAGAGAGGTCTTCCTTCTGCTGGTTCACTCCCCAATTGACTGCAACGGCCAGAGCTACACCAATCCAAAGCTAGGAGCCAGAAGGTGCAGGGGCCCAAGGAGTTGGGCCATCTTCTACTGCTCTCCCAGGCCATAGCAGAGAGCTGGATCAGAACTGGAGCAGCCGGGACCTGAACCGGCGTCCATTTGGGATGCTGGCACTGCAGGGGCAGCTTTACCCACTACACCACAGAGCCAGCCCCCGGCAATATATTTCTAATAAAATTATAAAAGCTTACAGGAGCTTCCTGGTTGGAAAAGCTATACAATGTGTGCACATTTTCTAGCAACACTCAGGAGAAAAACAATCTAGTCAGAGTTACACAGTGATAACTGTACTATCCTGTGCTCTTTTGCTACTTCCTAAATCCTAACTTTTCTTACCGACTTATCTTTGACAGTTCATTGTTTTTAATTACTTTTTAAAAAGAAGTAGACCATCCATTCACTAAGCCTACCTTTGAAAATCAAAGTTAACCAAGCAACTGCTCTTTATCTGCTGTTTCGTTTTGTGGATCCAGTGGAGCAATATTTGCCATGGCATTCATTGACGCATTTGTTATGGGAAACGGCTTTGAATTTCAAGAGGCATAATTCAATATTTTTCATTAACCTTTTATTTTAAAGATGAAGCTGTATGCTTACTGGATAAAGTGACATGCCACTTAGCACTAAATTCAATGTTCAAGAATGCTTGTTGTTTAATGAATAATAAAACCACTTCATTTTACTCATGATTCTTCTGAGACAAGAAGAGGCGGCTTGTCTTCTAAATGCTTACATGTGGGTAAGTAATGGAAAGGACAAAAGTATCACAGACAAACTTTATGATTAAAAAAGCCCTTAAATAACGGCCCCAAATGGGTTTAGGTTAATAATCTGAATAACACTGGTGCTTTCTTACAACACTTATGGTTTTCAGACTTAAAAATAACTGAAGCAGGGAGCCTCCTTATGGGTGCATTCTTGCTGAACGCACAAGTCTTTTCTTACATCCCTATGAGTACCACGGTTAGCACCCTCTGTGGTCTGAATCTGCCTGAATATGATCTAAAATCCTCCCTCCCAGGCTGATGGTGTTGAGGCCAGGCCTCCAGGTGGTAGGTAGGTCATGAGGGCAGAGGCCCCCCACATGGGATTAGTGTCCTTTAACAAAAAGGCCCCAGAGAGCAGCCTTGTGCCTTTCTTTGCATGAGGATGCAGTGAGAAGTGCTTTCTATGAGAAACTGGATCCCTGCTGGACAGTGACTCTGTCTGGTCCTTGGACTTTCCCGCCTCCAGGATGGTAACAAATAACTATGTATTGCTTAGAAGCCACCAGGTCTGTGACAGTTTTCATAGCAACCTCGATGGACTAACATAGTATGTCATAAAAAACAGAATCACCTTTTCACAAATGGAATTGTTTAAAAAGAAAAGAGGGGGGATGTCATTTTTTATAAATTACAATGATGTTTCTGGAGTTCTGACAATGAGGCTTCAAAAAGTGCAAGAAACCTTCACATCACCTTTTAATTCCATGTTTCTATAAACTCTTTGAAGCGTCCTCACATGGAGGAACCTTGTCACACACCTCTCAAATCTCCACAGAAACTTCTAGACACTGCTCACTGAGTCCCTTGATTCAGGGACAACCTCACAGTCATCAAGCCAGTCCTCCAAAGGGCATCAAAACTTGCTGGGAGCTGGGGCACAAACAACAACACCACTGCCATCTCTGTTCTAATTTATGGATTTGTTTATTGGCTTTCAGCTGTTCCAGGATATTAATTACTGCCCGTGGCTAAGCAGGTGGCAATGACTGTGTAAATGCAACCAAAGCCAGCACGGTCAAGAAGAGTCAATTTCTTCCCATTGACAAAAATGGAAAACAAAGATTTTTCTGAAAGCTGCTTTTATTTTCTGGGATGCTCTTTCCTCACTCAAGTATTGTATTAGCCCAAGTCTCTACCCACTTCAGGCCTCTTCTCCACTCTCACTAATACGGTCCTTCTCTGACCACATCAGATAAACGGAATCCCCCACCCATCCGTATCCCCCTACTGTCTCCCTGTTCAGCTAGTCTATTTTTGTTTTGCACAGGACATCATAGCTCAGTCTATCCATTTCCTGACGCACTGGGATGTTCCCTGAGGGCACTCTGGTCCTGAAGTCACAACACCGACAGATCCTCTACTTGGTCCATGTTAAGTGACCTATAAATATCTATTCATGCATATACAAGGGTGGGGGGTACAGCTAAAATTCCTTTCAGGAAATTCATAGATGCACTGATTGCAAAGAGATGTTTGTGTGACATACTGCAAAAGTAATGTGACTTCTAGAAAAAACAACTGGGACTATCAGGGCGTGGTCTCTTGCTAATGACTAAACACCCTGCTCGACAGAGATAACTTCTAACAGAAATGTCACTGAGCCATGGCTATTGAGACTGCATAACAGGAAATATAGCCATAACATGCGACAATCCAGCCATTACTCAAAAGGGGAAATTAGAAAAATCAGGAAGTCTACAAAGTATTCTAAGATCTACAGAAGAACACAAAAGTCAGAAAACAGCCCTATCCCAACTCAGAGACTTTAAACACCACAATTTTGGAAATGTAACAGTAATTATAACTGCGAGTAACGGAACATTTGCCCTAGAAGAGTGATTGTTGGCCAAGACGTGTTCCCGAGCACTTGCCTTTAGCAATGCATCTACATATATGTTGTGCTGTGACATAATTTCCTTTACATCCCATTTCACATTAGCCATTAGCAGCAGCATCTGTTCATAATCGATGGCTTTGCCAGCTACAATCCAGTAAATGGGTTTGCGTAGTTCACTGGCAGTTGAGACTGTCTGAAATTAATTTCATAAAAAAGAAAATAATTAGTTCTTGAAAGTATCGAAACTATAAAGAATATCTTGCCCCTGTTTCTAGTATATATCATATCTGAAAACACAATGTCATGCATTTGGAGATTTCAACTATGAATATATTTCACTTGAGCACAAAGGTCTCACGCAAAACATCACTGAGTCATTCGATAAACCTGAGAACACCGACACTACAATTAGAAAAGAGTTTGGGATTTTCACGAAGACTAGTGAGCACTTCTCAAACTCCTCCCCCCGCCCTGCATTTCCACCCCACCCAGCTCCCTCAGGAGCCCACCACCCTTCCCTGGCTCTACTGCAACAGCCTCCAAACGTGTCTCCCTGTCTCTAGGCTCTCACTGCACCCAAAGAACTCTTCCTAACACACTTGGCTCCCCTGTTACAGACCCTCCAGTAGCTCCCAGTACCCCTGGAATAAGTCCAGCTCCTGGCAGGGAGTGCTATAGAAATGACGTAATTCCTCCTCCTCACTGCAGCCCTCTTCCCTTCTCCAGCCAACTCACAGGCACCACGCTCTCCCACACCTCCCACGCCAGTCCCTGGTCTAGCATGTACACTCAAAGCACTCGGTCCACCTGGCTGGCCCACTTGAAGCAAGCCTTTCTTCACCACCTCCTCCCACCATGGCTTCCTCCGGCCGCCAACCATGGCTAATATCCTGTTAGTACCTTTTCCCTTTATCAGACTGCTCATCCTACTTTATGTAAATACAGTCTCATCAGCTCTCTCTCACTAGACTAGAAGTTATGAGTTGTTCAACATGTACTATTTGACACAGGACTTCATGAGTAACTAGATAAATATTCTATCCAACTCCCCCAGGGTTTGGAAACTGACCTCTAGATAAAAAAATAGATAAATAAATAAAAGTTGAGACAGCCGTCTTGCCCCCAGTGGAAATGATAAGCACGCAAGAGCATCTCTGACCTGGGAATAGAACTGCTGAAGGAAAGGCTTTTTGACCGCAGGCATCACAGCATCCAGATGGGGCTGAAGGAACTCAAACTGTTCAGCCAAGAACACCCTGAAGGGAAAAAAAAGTACCCACTGTGCACATGGTGCAGGGTTCACAGCCTGGAAATGTTCCCTTTAATCTTTTAAGATCTCAGACCAAAACTTTACCAATTAAAATGATTTTCCACCTTAGCGAATTCCCTGTACTACCCACCTGACAAGTTCATTAGCAGTATCTATCTGCACAATAATTAATTCTGAGCTTATCACCGAAGGGCACTTGAGGAGAAAGAAGGGTGACTTCAAAGACGCTAATCAGGTTACCACAAGATGTGGAGTTATGCTGCTCTGCATGTCAGATGGGGGCACAGATCACAAAAAATTGAAAAAAAAGAATAAACACTATTTTAAAAAAGAATTTCCCTTAAAGAACCCAGTCAGTTATATACAACAGACTCTCACATTCACAGACTCAACATCTAACACTTTTCAGAAGTAACCCCAAAACTCCCAAAGCACAGCAAACCACGACTGGGCTGACCTGTCCACAGGAACTCCAGCTGCAGGGGGTGGTCTACAGGACGGGGCTCACGTGGCTGTCAGCAGCTGCACTGCAGTCGGGGCCCTGTTTTTCTCTACTTTTTGCTAAGCATGTAAAACTTCTCCAGGTATACTGGACTACGTATATATGGAAGAACTTACTTATTTTAAATGTATTAACAAATTTGGGGATTCCTAAAGGTCAGGAAACCCTCTTGCTGATGTCAAGGGTCAACTATACATAACACCAACTGGCAGTTTTTCTAGAATCATCAACATCAGTAGGAGAGTATATAGTAAAATGCAACACTTTTTAAGTTTTACTTAGAGCAAAGATTGGGGCCCACATTGTTGCAGTGAAGTAAGCTGAGGCTTGCAACGCCAGCACTTCATATCGGAGTGCCAGTTCAAGTCCTGGCTGCTCTGCTTCTGATCCAGGCCCCCGAGAATGGGCCTGGGAAGGCAGTGAAAGATGGCCCAAACACCCGGGTCTTGCTGCTTACGTGGCAGACAACGATGGACTTCCTGCCTCCTGGTTTCATCCTGGCCCAGCCCTAGCTGCTGTGGATACTTGACAGAGCGAACCGCAGATGGCAGATCTCACACTCTGTTTCTTCCTGTCTCTCACTCACTCTGCCTTTTAAAATAAATAAATAAATCTTTAAAGAAAAAAACTCATTTTTTTTTAAAAAGCAAGAATCATGTTGCTAAAGATCAAAACTTGATTTTCTTTCCACTTAAATTACTGAAAACCAAGGATGCAGTTTTAAAAATCAATTGGTAATCTACATTAGGATGTTCTCAGAAAAACATAAGTGATATTAATCTGGTAGACATACACTGCTAGAAGTCTACTTGTACAACGTTTAGTTTTATAACCTTTCTTATTTAATGGCGAAGCAACTATTTTTAACAACTTACAAGGATTCCGTGGCTACCACTCTTTCTGCCAACCCATACAACGTGTCGCCAGCCGTCAGAACCACAAGGTGACTGAGGTGTGGGCTCGGGACCTTCTCCCTTCTTTCTTCTGCTGCTGTGAGGGTGGCAGCAGGGTCTGCTGAAACCTCCTGAAAATACAAGACAGACACATGCACCTGAAACAGCAAATCTAACAGGAATAAATCAGCTGATTCGGATGAGACCAGAACTGTAATTAAAAACTTGGAAGCATACATCAATTACACTTAGTTTTCAGTCCTTTTTTTCTCTGCTTTTATGTTTTGTAACTGCTGGGACTTTCTTTCTATACAAAGTGAAAAGGCTCCTCCTATATAACATCATCCAACTCGAGACACGGCCACCTGTGCATGACCTCAAGTCTGCCAGCACAAGGGATCTTCAGGAACCACCACTGTTTCACAGAGACGAGAAGTTGCAGATACGGGAAATGAGATTGCCTCTTGGTGTAATTAATCATTTCAAACTCAAACCTCAATCACGGTAACCTTGGTAAAGTCTCCTGAAAGCAGTATTAGGATGTGGTGAAAAGCTGAAACAGAACAGCTGTCGCTCCCCCTCTTCATGGAGGAACGACACTAAACCCTGCCTAGGCTTCATATCCGAGTCACGGCACCATTATGTCGCTCCCCGTCTTCGTGGAGGAGCGACACAGGACCCTGCGCTGTTCTTTCGTCTGCTCGGCCCTCCCCGGGTTCGCTGCTGGTTCCTCCCGGGTTGGCTACTATCCCTTCCACCTCCGTGGAAGGGCAGTTCCCCCTAGCCACATTCCCCACTTCCGCAGGGGAGCGGCACACCGCCGGCCGGCTCTCTCGGGGGCTGCACGGGTTCCCTTAGATGTTCCCCATAGATGTTCCTGGTGCATGCCGTCTCTCTCCTCCTTTATAGTCCTCCTCCGCCAATCCTAACTCGGCTGCCCACACGCCGAGTACGCTGCTCTCCAATCAGGAGCAAGTCCTACAGTTTATTGGTTGAACTGGAGGCAGCTGGGTAGAAGCTGTTTTCTCCTCTCCCAGCGCCATATTGTAGGAGAGCAGATGCATAGAATAAGTCTTAATTCCAGTAACTTAGTCTAGTCCGAGCTGCTCCCCACAGAGGAGAGCAGATGCATAGAATAAGTCTTAATTCCAGTAACTTAGTCTAGTCCGAGCTGCTCCCCACAAACAGCTGTCTTGCCTGTGGCTGGGGACAGACTGCAGATGAGACAGAAGATGGTCAATGTGACAAAGGAAAAGGACGCCCAGAAAGCAAGGTGCGCTGGGCTGCTCAGCACTGTCCAGGCAGTCAGCGGGAGGGATGTGGTCTCACCGGAAGTCAGACTTCCCGGCTCTCAGGGTCACCTTCATCTGATGCCGTGCTCACTAGCAAGCTTCTCCTTCTTGGGCTTCACAGAAATAGAGTCTGTATTATAAACAGACTAGCACAGCAAGAATGTTGAAGATATGCCCACTCAACTTGCCCTTAATGTGCAGCAAAGAAATTTTTTTTTTTTTTTACTGAGCTCTAGTAAACAGTAAAAATACCCGCCCCCAAAAATCACTTGAACTCACTGACATACTGGCACAGATCTTTCTGAGGGTGGGAGGTACTGTCGTCCTAGGCAAGGAGGTGCACACTGGCTACTCGGAGTAGCTGATGGAGCAGAAGAGCCTTCTGGCACCCCAAGTCTTTCAGTGAAGATGCAAGCTACCTGAGCAACCTCTTTGCAAGGCCAACAGGAGAGAATGCTGAAAACACTGACATCTTCATACCAGTGACTTTTTTTTCTTTTTTTCTTTTTTCTTTTTTTTTTTTTGACAGGCAGAGTGGACAGTGAGAGAGACAGAGAGAAAGGTCTTCGTTTGCTGTTGGTTCACCCTCCAATGGCCGCCACAGCTGGCGCGCTGCAGCCAGCGCACTGCGCTGATCCGATGGCAGGAGCCAGGTGCTTCTCCTGGTCTCCCATGGGGTGCAGGGCCCAAGCACTTGGGCCATCCTCCACTGCACTCCCTGGCCACAGCAGAGAGCTGGCCTGGAAGAGGGGCAACCGGGACAGAATCCAGCGCCCCGACCGGGACTAGAACCCGGTGTGCCGGCGCCGCAAGGCAGAGGATTAGCCTGTTGAGCCGCGGCGCTAGCCACCAGTGACTTAAATGGTTGCTACATTGAGTGTCAGAGTAATCTTATTTAAAAAAAAAATTATTCACTTACTTGAAAGGCAGAGTTACAGAGAGAAAGACAGAGAGAGTGGTCTTCCATCCACTGGTTCACTCCCCAAACAGCTGCAATGGCCAGAGATGGGCTGATCTGAAATCAGGAGCCAGGAATTTCTTCCTGGTCTCCCACATGGGTGCAGGGGCCCAAGCATTTGAGCCATCTTCTGCTTTCCCAGGCCATCCAACAGGGAACTGAATTGGAAGCAGAGCAGCTGGGACTAGAACCAGTGCCCATATGGATGCCAGCACTGAAGGTGAATACTACACCACAACACTAGCCCCTAGAAAAATCTTTTTAATTGCTACTTTAGTGGAGAAAGAGGAGAAAGGTCAAGGTGGTGATGTCACAATTGCATTGTAAAAAGAACTCCATGGTGGTACAGTTCACAATGAAGGGCTCCTACCAATACTTATGATACCACTGTCTCAGTCACTAAACCGAGATAAATCATGGAGAATGTTTACAACCACATATACTTGCAATAATAACCAGCTTGATTTGAAGATGGGTATTATAATTTTAGTTTACGTATAGGACTTCCAGTACTAACATGGCAATAAATTCTACACACTATATTTTGAAAGTAATTTCCTGAAGAGAAATTTACAAAAAGAAAAAAACAGAATAAATTGCATGCAAATTATGTAAAAGCTTAGTACAAAAGAGCTGTTACTTTTTAAAAAGTTATCAGAATATACATTAACTTCTGTCCCACATCCTTTAACAAAAAGGTTTACAATTTTGATTGAATTGTAGAATTACACAGCTATGAGATGCTAACCATTATCTAATAAATCCCCTGCAAGTTAACATACTATTGTCAATATGGAGTTCAGAAGTGAGGACATATGAGCAGGTAGTATAACTAAGTATTAAATGTGAATTTGAGAGGGAGGGAGGGAGTAAGGTGGGAGAGAGAACCTCCCAACTGCTGGTTTACCCTCTAAATGCCTGAAACATCCAGGGCTGGGCCAGGCCAAAGTCAGGACCTCAGAACTCAATCTGTGTTTCCCACGTAGGTAGAAGCCATCAGCTGTTGCATCCCAGGATGTGTGTTAGCAGGAAGTTGAATCAGAAGCTGAGCCAGGTCTCAAACCTACGCACTCTGATAAGTGATGCAGGTATCCCAAGCGGTGTCTCAACTACTGCATCAAATACAAGCCCCAGAGTTACTTCTGAATTTCACTCTTTTATGATTTGAAATCATCATATATACAACTTACTTGTAAAACTGAAAGTGTTTTCAATTTAAATCTTAATTAATTATTTTGGGATCCAATAGGGAGGTGGTGCTGGAAGGTGCTGGTAGGCCAGCAGGGGGAATAACTACAGCTTGGGGGAAACGCAGTTTATTCCAAGTGTGACAGGAGGGGCCAGAAGCACTCGCCAGCTACCCCCTCAGTACCTCCCTCACTTATATGATGCACTCCCCCTTTACTCATGGGCTCTCACAGAAATCACTGGATTTGTGTCCCCACTTCACAAGGTTTTCACTAGAATGCCTTTTGCTGCTCCCAGTTAACACTGGCATTTGAGGCATAAAAATTACAGTAATTATCATCTAAAAGCTGAAGGTCTGTATTTACCTTTAGGAAAATACACTTGACGGAAGCAAGAGAGGTACAAAAAACGGCACGCTGACATAAAGGGGTGCGTACTTAGTGTGCACCTGGAAAAGCTCCTGACCGGATGGGTGTTTCAGTTCACACCAGCTCACTAAGTCAGAGACGCCCTGTGAAGACTTCGAGACTCTCCCACGATGAAAGTCACATTGTTTAGCCTTTCTTGCCATTAATTTACTACCACAAAGAAAATTCTTAATTATGAACTTTTCAGGACAAACTTAAAACATGTTTTTGTTATCAAAGATTTAAAGTTGACCAAAGGTCTAAGAGCAAACACCTGGGTCAGCATCACCGAAAAGGTAACTAAAATTCACGTTCCTGGTGCTGTCATCGCCTGTAGCAGTCTCCCCACTTCTCTTCCATTAAACTTTGCTTACACTTTGCTTTGATGTACCAAACAAATTTTCTTAGTTAACACTGAATTTCTATGATAAATGATTTCAGGTGGCAATCACTTCAATTTTGCCTTTCATAGCTTAAAGAGAAATCAAAATTATAGAAGAGATCTATGAAAAAGATAAAAATACCAAAAAGTGTTTATTAAAACTTTAACTGACATGTAAGAGAAATATAAGGAAAAATATTACTTCCACTTAGTTGGTTCCACAGTGATTAGGCTATAAATTATTTTAATAGCCAAAGAATGTACTGAACAGCAAGAAATCAATCAATGTTCTCTGCCAATGTAGATGCAAATTAATGAAGTGCAGAAAATTGATCTACCAGCTTAGAAAAACCTGAGATCAAGGTCTAGTAAGTGACAAATATATTTTCTAAAATAATAGAGCAACACTTATCAGCACCAGTAATTACTGTGTAATTCGACATGGAAAACTTCGGTTCTGGTGACATCTTTCCCTCCAGAGGACCAGGGCACTGGACAGACCTGCCAAGGCTCCTTAATCAGTGGAGGAAGAATGACTGCTTGCACGGTCTTGTCATCCAGTGAGCAGTCTTCTGACTTGAGACGGCAAGGAGAAGGACTTAAAGAAAGGATATCTTCAAAATATAAAGTGTCGAAGAGAACACCCAAGAACAGGCATATCTGCCTGTTTATTTTTTAACAGAGGGAAGGTACAGTTAACTTTTCAAAAAAAATCTTTAAATCTGACAACCAATTCAGTTCAGGAAAAAAGTTTTCCAATGATCAAAGGAGTCAGGCAGATGCTGCCGATACATTATTACCCAGCAGAAGGGTGGCAATGAGCCTCAAAGAAAAGCAAGTTTGGCCCCACTGTCTACCTGGTCATGCTATTTCATTACACAGCGTGTGGCAAAATCTGAAGCATAAATATACAAAGAATGTTCAAAAGTTTATGGAAAAAGTATACATGGATTTCAAATAATTTTTCACAAAAATAGACATCTTTTGATTTCATTTCCACAAACTTTTTTTTTTTTTTTTTGAGAGGCAGAGTTACAGACAGTGAGAGGGAGAGACAGAGAGAAAGGTCTTCCTTCCGCTGGTTCACTCCCCAAATGACCACAACAACCAGAGCTGCGCCGATCTGAAGCCAGGAGCCAGGTGCTTCTTACTGGTCTCCCACGTGGGTGCAGGGGCCCAAGCACTTGGGCCATCTTCCACTGCTTTCCCAGGACATAGCAGAGAGCTGGATTGGAAAAGGAGCAGCTGGGACTAGAACCTGTGCCCATATGGGATGCTGGCATCACAGGCAGAGGATTAACCTACTGCACCATGGTGCCGCCCCCTCCACAAACTTTTCGAGGTCTCCTAGTATCCATGCCTTAAGGGTCGGATCTGGAACTGTAGCTTGACCATCATAAACTGGTAATTAGCAGAGACAACAGAGAAATGCTGGAGTGAATGAGTCTAGTTTCAAGAAACAAGAGAAACTTCAGCTGAAAAGTTAAGATCTGAGGAACACAATCTTAAAAAGCACCAAACACAGGGGCCAGTGTTGTGGTGTGACCAGTTCAGCTGCCATCCCACACAGAAATGCTGCTTCCAGTCCTAGATGTTCCACTTCCAATTTAGCTCCTGCTAATAAAGTGCCTGATAAAGCGGTGGGAGAAGGCTCAGGTACAGGGATCTTGCCAGCCACACGAGAGTCCTAGTGAGTTCCAGGATTAGGACTGGCCCAGACCCAGCCATTTAGCCATTTGGAGAGTGAACCAGTGGATGGAAGCACTTTTTGTGTGTGTCTCTCCCTCTCTCTGCCTTTCAAATAAATAAAATATTTTTTAAAGCATCAGGCATAGAAAAATGTCAGTGGGACTGAAAGCCACTTTTTTGCATTGAAAAAAAAAAAAAAGCTGTGCTTGCTTCAGCACCCACATTTCAGCACCACATATACTGGTCAAAAAAAAAAAAAAGCCATGACTCTGCAAATGAAGATCAAGGGTTCAATGGGGATGAAAACCCAGAAAATGTGCCAAATTACGCCAGAAGGCATGCATAAAACCCAAGAATTGGTTTATTCATCTACTCTATGTAGATTTATTTAAGACATGTTCTGTGCTAAGGTAGGTATTCTAAATATTCTTTTAAAAAAATATGTGGGAGGCACCAGTGTTGTTGAGTAGCCAGAAAAGCCAGTGCTAGTGATGTTGGCATCCCCTACGGGTGCCGATTTGAATTCAGCTGCTATACTTCTGATCCAGCTCCCTGCTAATGTGCCTGGGAAAGCAGAAAAAGTTGGCCCAGATCCTTGAGGCCTTGCCACCCATGTGGAGACATGGAAGAAGCTCCTGGCTCCTGGCTTCAGATCAGCTTAGCTCTGGCCTCTGCAGCTATTTGGGAAGCGAATCAGTGGACAGAAGTGCTCGCTCGCTCTCTCTTTCTCTCTCTATCGTTCTTTACCCTTTCTCTCCTTCCTTCTTCCTCTATTTGTAACTCTGACTTCCAAATAAATACATAAATCTTAACAATAACAACAACAACAACAAAAATGTAGGAAGAGGTGTTTAGCCTAGCAGTTAAGATGCCCAGGTCCTATATCAGAATGCCTGGGTTCAATTCCCAGCTCCAGGCTGTGGGAGACAGTACTGATGGCTCAAGTAATTGAGTTCCTGCCACTCCCTTTGGGAGACTTGGATTTTATTCCAGACTCCCAATCCTGTCTGGTAACAACCCCTCTCATTGCAGACGTTTGGGGAATGACTAGTGGGTAAAGACTCTGTCTCTAAAATAATGACTTTTAATGCCCTAAGTAAAAAGATCTTGAAATGATAAGGCTGATGGAAATCAAAGTGTATTCACTGTGGATATATTAGCACATGCTTCTCACTCTGTATTCACAGATCTGTTCAAAGATCACCAACCTACCACTCTCTCCTTTCTTTTTATTTTAGCACTTATCAGTCTCTGACAGTACCTTATCTATTTGCCTCTGCTCCAAAAAAACACAATTCCCAAGAAGACAGGCGGATACCTCTTCTGTGCACTGATGAATTCCCAGCTCTGTAATAATGCCCAGCACAAAACTGATTTTTAATAAGCACTTCTTAAAAAAAAGCATGATTACATTACTCTGTAAGACTCTGAACAACATAACTATGTACATAATATAGAGCTTACACAAGAACAGAAAGATGATTGCTTGTTTGGGGTAGCTTGAAGAAAAAAGAGGAAATTTAGAGAAGCCTAGGGCTAACGCAGAGCCTGAGAAGCACACTGACAACAAAATCCTTCTGGCTGTAGTGGCTCCTGCAAGAATTTTTTTTGCTTATTTTAAATGCTTATTTTAGCTTTAACAAAGGCCTAAGTTGCTATCTAGTCTTTCTTCTTAAAACATGTATTTCATGATGAGACACACAGTCAAGAATTGGGAGTTACCACTACATATCAGACTAAACCCAAAACTTTCTCCTTGAATATCAAAGCCATTGATAAAGTGGTCCAAACTTTCTCCCCAGCACAAGTTTTCGACATACACCAATTCCCCAATAACAAAGACCTGCCACACTTTGGGCCATGCCTGTCCCACTTCAAGGCCCTTGCTCAACCTCTGAGCGTTTCTTTGAGTACTATTCATTCTTCTCTGTCCCACTAATTCCACCCCTGTCCTTCAAAGTCTAGCATAAGTCTTGCTTCTTCCTTTAGTCATTCTGTCACCAATTTTATACATAAACCTTTTTTCTCTTTGAACTTGTACTAGATGCCATAGTCAATATCACATTCCTGCAGGTTCTATTTTTCTCTCTCTGGTCAGACCCTAGACAAGCTCCATCTGACTTTGAATATGCACTGGTAATGCTAAGGATCCTGGCACTCAATATGCATATAAACAAACATTTATAGACAGGTGATCGGATGGCTTCTTCGTATTATATAAAACCCAAAAGAGTAGACTGCAATTCCTTACTCACCAGATCAATAAGGCTTTCTTGTATTCTGTTTAGAGTTGTTCTTAGTCTACTACTACTGAGGCCAAGTCCTGTTGATTCCAACTGAAAAAAAGGAAGAGAGACACATTACATCACTCTGGAGATACTCTTGAAATGTCACATCTTATAACTAAAGTATTTGGTGGGTCTTCACTGAGACAGTTAGCCTTCAGGGTTTCCAGACTGCATTTAAATATTTCAACACAGTAATCCTATCCTTCAAGAAAAATAATCCCTTATTCATGTGCATTGTACAGGTCACATTAACACTGACCAATCTCGGCCGGCGCCACGGCTCACTAGGCTAATCCTCCGCCTTGCGGCGCCGGCACACCGGGTTCTAGTCCCGGTCGGGGCGCCAGATTCTGTCCTGGTTGCCCCTCTTCCAGGCCAGTTCTCTGCTGTGGCCAGGGAGTGCAGTGGAGGATGGCCCAAGTGCTTGGGCCCTGCACCCCATGGGAGACCAGGATAAGTACCTGGCTCCTGCCTTCGGATCAGCGCGGTGCGCCGGCCGGCGGCCGTAGCAACCATTGGAGGGTGAACCAACGGCAAAGGAAGACCTTTCTCTCTGTCTCTCTCTCACTGTCCACTCTGCCTGTCAAAAAATAAAAAAATAAAAATAAATAAAAAATAAAAAAAATAAAAACACTGACCAATCTCATAAATTATCAGAACACAGCTTCAATAGAATTACTTTCCTGAAAGTTACTGGTTTTAATAAGTTAATAAGTTAAGATACTTAAAGATAATACACTCTTTTACTGAATATAAAATTTGTTGTGTTTATGCAAACATACAATAATATAAAGTGCTGCTAATTAATCTTTCTTACACAAATTATAGACAGCCTAAATATTCATTCAAAACTGAAAGAAATCTTCTATTAGGGTTAGTAAACATTTCACAGTACAGAATTCTACTCACTACAACAAAGCCAAAGCATTTATAAAAAACCTTCATGTAAGAGCATAAATGAGAAGGGTGTCAAGAATGTTAAGGGCTCAGGGCTGGCGCTGTGGCTTAGTAGGTAAAGCTGGCACGGGTTCGAGTCCCGGCTGCTCCACTTCCCATCCAGCTCTCTGCTATGGCCTGGGAAGGCAGTGGAAGATGGCCCAAGTCCTTGGGCCCCCGCACCCGCGTGGGAGACCTAGAAGAAGCCCCTGGCTCCTGGTTTCGGACCGGCACAGCTCCAGCTGTTGCGGCCATTTGGGGAATGAACCAGCGGATGGAAGACTTCTCTCTCTCTGTCTCTTCGTCTCTCTGTGTAACTCTGACTTTCGAATAAATAAATAAATAAATCTTAAAAAAAAAAAAAAAGAATGTTAAGAACATGAAAAGCCACTTAGTCACTTAGTAAGCTCCTTGTGTGATGATTCAATTGACTGAAATAAATTTAATTTAAAGATGATCATATACACATCCAGGCATTTGGAAATGTTAAATGCTAAAATGTTTTCTATGTGTGAATAAATGGGAAACATGACTTGTTTAAGAAAACATAGACTCACTGATGTATTCATAAACAATTTTGTGTGACTATGTGGGCAAATAAACGTATAAACTTGCAGAGATTTCTTATTCTTCCTCTAATCCCATTTAAGATATGAGGATGACAAATTAATAATATGCACCAGAATGTCTCAAACTAAAATAGCTGTGAAATGACACTATGTAGTAAAATATGAACTAATTATAAATGCTAGATTTTAAGACATCTTGGTTTCTCTAGGTTTTGTAAACTTCACTCACTCCTTTTTCCATAAGATGTTATTTATACGCAATTAAACTCAGGCATTTTAAGCATACAGCATGATGAATCTAGGCAACTGTATACACTCTTGCAACCAGTACCATAATCAAAATACAAGAGTTCTCTCCCCTTTTAAAAATGTCCTCAAGCCTTTTCTATTCATTCTCCCATCCCCATCCTGTATTCCTGATCTGCTCTCTATCACTAAAGATTTTGCCTTTTCTAAAATTTCACATAAATGGAATAACAGTCTTTTGTATTTGACTCCCTTTATTTAAAATGCTTTTGAAATTCATCCATGCTGTGAGTCTGTCAGTATTTTGTGTTCTTTTATCACTTAATGGTATTCAACTGCGGGCATTTAGCACAATCTGTTTCTTTATCCACAGGTCAATAAACATTTGGTCCTGTTTTGGGTTATATGAATGATGCCACAATAAAATTCACACGTATGTCTGGACATATATTATTTTCAGCTCTGAGTAAACACCTAGAAGTGGTATTTCTGGTTCATACAATAAATAGACTTTTAGCTTTATAAGGTACTGTGATACTGTTTTCTGAAGTGCAGCCTTTTGAAGGCCATGCTTTTTTTCATTTCCACAGCAGTGTATATGAATTCTAGGTTGTCTAATTGACAGAAGTTCACATCTCCTACAAGTCAAGCTGAAGCCCTAACTCCAGTGTGACGGTGTCTGGAGACCGATTCTGGGAGAAAATCAGGGTTAAATGAGGTCACAAGGGTGGGTCCCTGGAACTAACCCCCTTGGAAGAAGATACACCAGACAGCTTACTTCCATGTGAGCAGAACATAATGTAAGGACACAGCAGGAGAGTGGCAGAGAAAGCAGAGAGGCCCCCCCGGGAACAGAACGGGCTGCACCTTGACAGTGAAGGTTCCAGCCTCCAGAACCGCGCGGAATAAATCTTCCGTGTTTAGGATGTCCAGTCTAGAGGTGGGCATTTGGCACAGCAGCTAGGGTGCCATGTGGAATGCCTGCATCCTATATTAGAGTACCTGAGTTTGAGTTTGAGTCTCAGTCACACCTGGGAGGCAGCAGACGATGACTCAAGCAGTTGGTACCTGCCACACATGGGAGATCTCGGGTGAGTTCCCAGCTCTGAGGCCTTTGGGAAGTGGAGGGTGGATGGGAGCTCTCTCTGTTGGCCTCTCTCCACCTCTCAACGCTGGCATCCCATCTCCGGGCACCAGTTCCAGTAGGCTGCTCCCTGCACTGATGCTCCTGAGAAGGCAGCGAAGGTGGCCCTAAGACTGAGCCCCGTCATCCACATGGGAGACCCGGAGTTCTGGGTTCTTAGCTTGAATCCATTTGGGGAGTGAATCAGCAGATGAAAGATCTTTTTCTCTCTGGCTCTCCCTCTCTGCCACAATGCCTTTCAAATAAATAAAATAAATCTTTTTTTAAAAAGTAAATGCCATTAATCATTTTATTCAAATTCATTTTACCAATATTTTCCTTTATGGTTCATATTTCTTTGTGTCTTTTTAAAGAAACAAATGCCTATCTCATATGTCACAAAGACATTTTCTCCCAAGCTTTTTTCCTAGAAGTTTCATAATTCTGGATCTTATATAGGTATTATAAATAGTGCTTATTTATATTCTAGACAATGAATCACGTTAGCACCTTTCTCAGAGCCAATCGACTGTAGGTGTATGACGATTTCTGATTTTATCCTGTTGCATGGATCTGCACAGGCCACTACCATACTATCTTGCTTACAGGAGCTTTACAGCCAGTCTTTAAAATCAGGAAATTTAAATGGTGTCCCTTCAGAATTTGTTTGGCTATTCTGGGTCCTCTGGCTTTTGTACCAATTTTAAAACAATGCTGTCAATTCCTTCAGAAATGTTTCACTACAATTTTGACTGGAATTGAATTGAATCTATAGATTTGGAGAGGTCTACAATTTTTATAATAGTAATATACAAGCCTGAAATGTCTCTTTGTTATTTATCTAGTTTTTAAAAAGTTCCCTTTATAATGCTTTAATTTCTTCAGTGTACAAGTCTATCAAATTATCTGCTAAATTTATTCCTAAAATTTTTGACGCTATTGAAAGCAAAGCTGTTTTCAAAATTTCATTCTCTAATTGCTCAGTCATTGATTTTTATATACTGATCTTGTTTCCGGGGCTTATTATATTAAAAGCTTATTTGTAAGTTCCTCATGAACAATCTATGTCACCTGCAAATAAAGGCGATTTCTTTTCCAATCACTATGTCTTCTAGCTCCTATCTTACCTTTCAACAATGGCTAGGAACTTCAGAACAATTTAAAATAAAAATGGTAGTGAGTTACCTTTTTTATTATTATTGTTTATTTGACAGGTAGAGTTACAGACAGTGAGAGAGACAGAGAGAAAGGTCTTCCATCCACTGGTTTACTCCCAAAACAGCTGCAACGGCCGGAGCTGGGCCGATCAGAAGCCAGGAGCCAGGAGCTTCCTCCAGGTCTCCCACGTGGGTGTATCAGCAGAGATGCTAGCAGAGAGCGCGATCGGAAGAGAAGCACCCAGGACTAGAACCAGCGCCCATATGGGATGCCGGTGCCACAGGTGGAGGTATCACCTCCTGCGCTACGGCGCTGGCCCAGTGAGAGTCACCTTCTCTCTGTGCTGCTGTGAGGAAGCACTGAGAATTTTGCCACTGAATCTCGCCACTGTTTGCTGTTCCACAGGCGCATATTACCAGGATGAGGAAATTCCTTTCTGTTGCTAGTTTTCTAAGTTTTTATCATCAAAGGATATTAAACTTTGTCAAATGCTTTTTCTGAATAACTATAAACTATCAAGGATTTTTCTTCTAAGGTAGAGTGTTAACATGGTAAATAAACAACACTGGTTAATTTTAAAATAGGATTTTAAGCCGTTAAATCAATTCTGTATTTTCAAGACAAATACCACTTGGTCATAAATCAACTTGTTAACAGCTCAAGGATATTTTAAAAATATATGTCCATGAAGTATATTGGTCTTGTGGCATCTTTGTTTTGAATACATGTTAATATTGGCATCATGAAACAAATTGTCAGATATTTGTTTTACCTCTATTTCCTGAGAGTTTCTATAACATCAGTATTTATTGAAGGTGTTTATTGACAAATTTAACCTATTTAATGATTAAATAGCTGTTCAACTTTTCCAGTTCTTCTTTGGTCGGTTTTTATAACTTGACTTCGTCAAATAATTTATCCATTTCATCTCACTGAACAAATTTATTGGCACAAAATTGTTCATATTATTTCCTCGCTGTCCTTTGAAAGTCTAAACGTTCTGTTATGATGGTCAC